ATTTGGTGATCTAATGTATCCCTGCTCAAGAAAAGAAAACAGGAAAGTGACTGAAACATGTTTTTTTGTTGTAAATTTTCTGAGCAGAAAATGTCAGATGTTTTCCTACCTTTAATAATTGTTAATAATAATAATCTTCAGATTCAAACATAAGGAATAGATCTCAAATGCAGATGTTTCATCAGATTTAAAAAATAAATATTAACTAACAATTCTTAAAAAGATATACAGGGTGTTTTTTTTTTTAAATTGATGGTACTCAGAGACATCTGTAGAGCAATCTAACATCCAGACTGTTGCCAAATTTGGGAGAGTGACTAAGGACGACACGGGAAAGAGATTCCGTGAAAAAAAAGTAGTACCTAAATTCGCCTAAATTAAAGTAGTACAGTACCTAAATGCATGTTGCTGCAGATGTTTATTTTGAAACTGATCTTTTGTAAAAATTACTTTTAATATAACTTACTATGTTAATAGTAGTACAATCTCAATTTATTTTCAGTTTATCTTTGATTCTACTATGTATTTTTGTCTCATAAACTAAAACTTTGTAGACTCGGGGAACAGTTTAAGAAAGACTGGCTAATTTAGGAGCTAGTGTTCTATATCTTAATTTATATTTGCCTAATAGCTTGAGCATTGCTAAATGGCTATGCTACATATACTTTTCTCAGATGTACATGATTCTGGAAAATCATTCTTGTAATATTAATTTTACCTGTATATTTTTAAAATTCTTTAACTAGTAAGCATGAATGTTTTTATGAGGTAGTGTACCTATTTCTCATTGCTAGGAATAACACCCCAACTCATTTCTGAAGTTGCATAGCAAGATAAGTATGAACAGTTGTTGTTCTACACCTAGCCATATGATTTTTTTATATACAGTGAGTGATTGGTTAACGAACAGATCGGACAACGAACAAATCGGATAACAAACACTTTCGCGAAAGATTTTTATGTTCGGACAATGAACACATGATCGGATAACGAACATCCCACATAACAAACACAAGAAGAAGCGACGTAAAATAACGAATATCGATTGGACTTTCCTTGTCTTCGGGCAACAATTCGGAACTTTTCGGAGTGTGGGAGACGTCGACATCGACACTCAAGCCGGTATATACCGATCGGATAGTATTCCTCCGAACTTTGAAACTCTCCCTTATAATTCCAGCCTTTTATTTTTATGACAAAATAATTCTTTTATATATTCTCGAGACTGTCGGGTAGGCACTCGTTAAGTTTTGCGTCTGTTTTTTTTTTCGAAAGGTGAGAGTATAATAGCAAAGGTAGAGAGTGGGCAGAAGATGCCTAATGTTGCTGGGCAGTATGGCGTGAACAGGTCTACAGTAGGCCGCAGTTCAATCTTATTTAAGAAAAATACTGTATAATCAAGAAGACTCAAGCAGCTAAAGGAGTAACAAAAATCACATCTGAGAAATAAAGAACATCGAAGAGTTCATAATGGAACCTGAAACGGATCTGACGACAGAAGAACGCCAAGAACTCTTGAATGAAGAACACCAAGAAACTCGGCGAGATATGTTTTCTTCTGAAAAAGAGGATTAATGCCGATATCTGTTATTAAAGATCCTTTGAAGAAGTGTGAGGATGTCAGAACAACGGTCTTAGAATGGCATCCAAACCAGGTTGAGGCTTGGGGATTTCTACAATTGCAATGCTATTAATTACTTAGGAAAAATCCTGAAGATGAGAGAAAAGCAATCGACATTAGACAGATTCTTTAACCCTTTCAAACGGAAAAAACATGACTAATAAAAATGCAAGATTGTGTATACACGTATTTTTATTATTACATAAAAATAAACGTAGAAAGAAAGTATATATTTTTTATTTTGGGGGAGTCTCCAGAACGAATTAATTAAATTCCCATTAAAACCTATGGTAAATCGATAATCGGTTAACAGACAATTCGGATAGCGAACAAAGTCTTGGAACGGATTATGTTCGTTAACCGATCACCCACTGTACTTGCAGATAAAACATTTAAAATGTGATAGGAATATTAAACAATCAGGCTATAATTAACCATGTAAGGTTATATCTAAATTTAAATACATCTTAAGCAAAGGTTTGCTTGGGGTCTGAGTGGCGCGACTGGCAAGTTTGCTGCACAGCAAGCAGAGGCTTCAGGTTTGAGCCCCGTCCCAGGTCAGTTCTTTACTTCCAGATTGTTCTAAATTATTTAATAAATTATTAAAATTATAATTATTAATTTAGTTAAGAGATAGCACTTAATGTCTAAATGTCTACCTCTAGTAGCAAATTACTTAGTATTAATTAATATAATTAGTGAGATTATAACCTGATTATTTAGGTGATCATTTGGTAATATTTCAATATGATAAGACTAAAAATCTTACTATGCATCCTGAATTTTTGCCATTGATAACTCATAATTTTTATTCCTAATAATACAATTTAATGAAATAGAATGAAAGTAATCTGAAAGTTTTGTATGGTCAAAGTAATGCTTTAGATGATATGAGGGAACACTTGGCATTGTAACAGATGTATTTGTCTAGCATTTAATATGTAGATTATTAATTTAATGGACTCGGTATAGATAGTAATTTGCATGCTACATTTTTACAGTTTGGACTGATGTTAACTGATAATGTCAAAAACATTTTATCAGGAGATAGTAAAATTGAGAAATGTAAATTAAAATAATAGTTTCAATTATAGGTCATGATGTCTGATAGATGTCATGTGGGTAACTATGGCTTCTATTTAAATAAACCTAAAATTTTCTAATAATTCAAAAATTTTTCAAAGTACAGGTAACCCCCGTATAACACGGCACTTCTATAGCACGGATTCGCTCTAACACGGTTCGAGAATTGGTACCATCCCCCGTATAACACGGTACTTTTATAGCACGGATTCACTCTGACACGGTTCGAGAATTGGGTAAAACCCTCGTACAACAGGAAATGTAATAAATTTTTACATACTTAAGTAATAATAGTTCACGAAAATTATTATTTTCGTGAACTATTAGTACTTAAGTATGTAAATTTTCTCTTCTCGCCTTCTGTCGATACACATGGTCCTTCTCGAAACTTGTTTCAATGTTGCCAGATGGCGACGCTTCTGCTTCTGATGTTGCCGAATGTTTTTCCCTTATTCCATACTTGCTTTATTCTTCATAAGTGCTTAGCACCATATAAGGAAATTTATAAAGACCTTTTAACTAGAAGCAAGCAATCTAAAATTACACACTTTTTGCAAATGGTAAAGCATGGATCTGAAGATAATGCAGAAAAATGCTCAGAGGATAAGGATAACTTGCCAAAAAGAAAACGCTCTCGGTTAATTAATAGTGTTTTTAGTGATGACGAAGAAAACGTTGTTTAATTTATATTAATATGTATCACTTAAAAAAATCTAAATGAAGATATTTATCTTAATTATGAAAATATACTAGCATGTTTTTTTAATTTTTGGAACCTAACCCTCCTTTTCGTATTAGTTCTTTGTTTCGTATAACACAGATTCGCATGACATGGCAATTTTTTGGAATGTAACTACCGTGTTATACGGGGGTTACCTGTATTAATATGAAGACTAATTGGAAAAACTTTAAACACTTTTACTTTAAAACTTTAATTTGAATGTATAACTGAGGAAATTGTGCAATGAATATGAAAAACATGATAGATTTATTTAATAGTCAAATGAAATAAAAATTAAATTTATTATTTGGGCAAATTAATACAGTAAAACTTAATGTATTTTTGTATTTTAAACACACTCAAAAGCTGGAACAGTTACTTTAAAAACACTGCACCCCACTCTTACCTACCTCAGCACACTAAAATTTTATTTTAATGTGCTGGAGTAGATAGATACATGTGGGGTGCAGTGTTTTTTTGTATTTTACATATTTTTTCATCAGACCTGTCAAATCTTCACAAACTCCAATGTTAACATTTCCACATTTAGTTTCTTTCAGTTTTGTGAATTTTAAGGATTTAATGCATTGAAAACATGATCTCTAAATAAATGTTTCCTTCAAATAATGTTTTTCAAAAAGAAAAGAAAATATATTGTATGTTCACATGATATTGACAAAAATTTGTGTCAAACTTAGAAATACATGATGAACACACATCAAGTCTTCAACAGGAAACGAACAAGTATACTTTATTACTTTCAAAAGATAGCTTTAACAAGTTTGGCATCTCTGTTTTACACAAAAAAATAATTTTTACATTACATTGTATGAAATAAAGGCTTTCATGGAAGCATTTGTACTGAAATGTGTGTTTTTCTTCACTTTATCCATTCTGAATGCATATACACATGTATTTATATATTCTAGCATGCTTTTAAGGATATTCAGATTTTTTATCTATTCTGCAATTTAATGTGTTTTTTCATCAGTTCCTTGAAAAATGTTGAGTTTCTATTATATTTTGTTCTAACAACTCAATGCATAAACTTTCATATAAGCAGTTAGTTTTTAATTCACTTTAAAATATTTTGGAACACCTTCAATGCCATCTTTAGTGATATTAGATGAGAACAATTTCAATTATTCCACAGTAGAAAATAAAATGAACTACTCAAATAAGAATAGTTTGTTCCATTTTCTTTTGTGGTAGTCATGTAATTTTTTTTTTAGTGTAATTATTGAACATGGGTCTAAATTTCAAAAAGTCAGTAAAAATAACCTGCTCAATGAAATTTTTTTGCTTGTTAAAACATTTTTCTATACTGTAAATATGCCTACAAAAATTTTTTTTTAGTGAAAACATCAAATTTGAAATAGTATTGAGGAATATAACAAATATCTATTTAAGATTAAGTATAAAACCTATGAATTTAATTATAATTATTTTAAAAAATTTTTTACACTTACCTTTTTCTGATGAAAATTTATACTTTTTCCTTTTTATTAAATTTTATATAAATATTTTTGTGAATTACAATTGTGTTAAGATAATGGAAAATTAATTCACTCATGTTATCACATAGACAGATTGTACAGATTTATCATTAGGTAAAATAGTATTTGAAGTAATTAATAATTTTATGAGGAAGTTGATCTTACACTTAATAGCAATTAAAAATACAAGAATTGCTTCTGGTAAAATATTAACTAATAAATAAATTTAATTAATTTTAATTTAGATATATTCATGATCTATTAATTTATATTTTCAGTTTACATAATGTCTTCTCGAGATAAAACATTAAAAGTAGGTGATACTGTAGTAACAAAATCAAAACAGGGCATAATAAAAGAAGGAGTTATTCTAAATGTTAACAGAAGATACTGTAAAGTTGAATTCCCCAATGGAAATGAAGAACTTTTTCCAAGAAAAGATGTAAAAGTAAGTTTTTTTTTAATTATACTTTCCTAAATAGGATTATAATAAAAACAAAAGTGCACCTGTTGGTAATAACAAAATATTATGAATATGTGTTTATATTTCATTTATATTAAAGCATATTATGCTATTTTCATAACTACTATTAAAGGTTTATTTATTATTTTATTTTATAGGTCGTTGAATCTGGCAATAAAAGAAGATCAACATCTCAGAATAGATTAAAAAGAGATCGGAAATCTAAAAAGACCTTATCCCGTTCTGAATCTAGTTCTCGTTCTCGATCACGATCAAGATCACGTTCACGTTCCAAAAGTGTCACTAGAAATATTGAAAATAAAAAAATTGTCCGTACTTTAAAACGAAATAACATATCTACAGGAAGTGATGAATTTGATAGCCATGCTGTTATTAATAGAAAAGACCCACACTTAGTTGCAAGATCATCTGCACGTGTTTCTGCTAATGTTAGTAAATACAATAGTTTTAAAATTTTAATGCTTTACAATTGTTGTTAAAAAAAATTAGCTTACATAAATAAAACTTATGATAATAATTATTACATATAACCACAATGATAAGATGAGGATAATTTTAAACTCCAAGTATGATAAGATGCTCTTTACACAATAGTTATATATATATTAAACTTTTAAAGATTTGTATTTTTATTAATATGAATTATAACAGGAAAGTAATAAATATACTTGAATTATTTATCCACAGCCTTTTAAATCTATAAATGCAAATGTTTAAAAAATTTTATATAGAAAAGTTTTACATTAATAAAATAATTTAAATGTTGTCATTCTGCAAAAAAATGCAAAAATATATTTCATAATTTCATTATATAATATGATAACATTATTATGTAATGTTTTTATTGTTATAACTTGAACTTTATTTTATTATACTGTGTATTTCATATATTTACATTTTTTTTCCCTGCAGAAAAAATCTGATTCATCTCGACATTCAACACCAAAACCTGTAATTGAGCCAAAAATATTAAATCTATCTTCAGATTCTGAAACAGAACTATTGGATAAAAGTAGAGAAATTTCAGCAATAGAAAAAGAATTAGAAGAAGAAAAACAAGAAAAACCAGGAATTAAATTTCATTTAATGATATTATGGTTACTCCAATTTTTATTCTTACCTACAATTGCTGTTTTACTGTTTTTATGTACAAAGGTAAGATTTTAGTAGGTTTATGATTATATTATTTATTTAAAATGTGATGTAAACTGTAAAAACATTTATTGTCAAACTCATATCTATTTAAGTATAATTTACTTTTGTTTATATTTGACAAAATAATGAACACAACTTTATTAGAAAACAGGACATTTTTAATTTAATCAGTAATGAAGGACAAGACTATGGTATTTCAATGAAATTATTAAAACATTCATATTTATTTACTTTGCAAATAAAAATTTTTAAATTCTTTTTTTAATTCATTATTTACTGTTTGGTATTTGAGATAAGAGTGTTTATTAACAGGCATCATAAAAATATGTTGACTTAGATGAATCAATATGTTATGCATTTGTACAGATTACTTAGTTTGTGTGTAATTTAAATTTGAGAAAAGAACATTTTAGGGATTCATTGTAATATTTACATTAGAAGTCAATGCAGATGTTCATAATGTAGCTGCACATTTCAATTTTATTTTTCTTAACATAGCTTAAATCATATAAATTCACCTGCATTATGTTGAACATTGTTTTATCTCAAATAAACAGTAAGTGATCATTTGATTAGAAAATAAAAAATTTATTTATTTATTTTTTATTTTATTGAATCAGAGCATTAGCAAAGCCTCTTCTATGTGTCTTGCAGAGTTGTGTTAGTTCTTAAAATTTGATTGGTTGATTTTGATAAAACTTTGCCATTTTACATTAATTATGATGGTGAATTCAAAAATGAAATAAAAAATGGGATCCGTGACTTAGTTTATGAGATACAATGTTGCTAGCACGAGTGTGTGCAATAAAATGACATCATATAATGTTTCAAGATTGTTAGCATGTCTTTTGTGTGGCTTATAGAATTGAGTTTGTTCTCAAATTTTGATGGGCCAATTTTGATAAAACTTTGCTATTTTCCATTAATTGTGATGAGGAATTTGAAAATGTAATAACAAAAAAGATCCATTACTTCATTTTCAAGATACAGTGGTGTCAAAGTAACAATGTCCATACTCCATGATGTAATTGAGTGCACTTAGTGGAATTTAGCAGGGCTTTGGAGCTGGAGCTGGAGCTGGAGCATGGAGCAGGTGGAGCAATGGATTTTTACTCGGAGCAGGAGCGGAGCCAGAGCATGGAAATTTGTAGTGCTCCACTGCTCCGATTATATATATATTTATTTATTTAATATTTGAGACAGTGAAAATGGAAGTGGCATAAGTTGTAATATTACAAATGTCTCATGTGAAAGGTGGGAACTTTTCTCTCCAGTCTCCACTATCCCCTGACCCAGCTATTCCTTCCCCTTCGTGATCCCCCAGTTCTCTGAATTCTTGATGATTGTAGATGTGGAGTTAAAGCTAGATGCTGCAGCTTGTGGAAATAGAAATTTTCTTGCCATCAATGTACAATTTTGGTTTGAAAAAATGAGAAAACTGAAATAAAATCATTGGATATTGTTGATACTGAAGGAAGACATAACTCTTTATATGTGAAAAATCAAATTAAAGAAACTTTGAACAAATTTGAAATCGATGAAAAACAAGTACTAAGTATTTGTGTAGATAATGCAGCGAACATGACACGTGCTGTAAATAAACTTGGCGATCATGAAAATATTTTCCAGGATAAAGATGAAAAAACTGAAAACATTGAAGAGATGAATATAGACATTTTGCCACATTGGGTTAAAAATCCTTCCCTAATATTGCCAGCGTGGACTAATGATAATACAAAAATTCATCTAATGAGGTGTGGGATTCACACTCATCAACTGGCCATTTGGGATGGATTAAAGAATGAGTGGATAACAAAAATATTAGGGAAAATCCGACAGGTTGTGGTAAAATTAAAAAACACCAACAATTCATAATGTTTTGCTGAAAATGTATGGTAAAACTCAATTCCTAGATACAGTAACAAGATTTTTATGAAAGAATGGTGTAAACTAGAAAAATGTATGGAAGAATTTGAAAGATATGTTTCGTTAGGAATTCTGTCTTCCATGAAAAAGCGGAAAGAAAAGCTTATTCAAAACATACATTTTCTTGCTGGAGTGTATGTTGATTCTAGGTATAGAATCTTATTAAGTGTGGCAGAAAAACTAAAAGTGAGAGAAGGTCTTTCAGACATCCAACAGCGAATCAAAAGGCAAACACTAATTGATTTGGCTGAAAAGCCAGCAATTGTTGAACTGTCACAGCCAACCTGTGATATGATAAATATAGGTTCAGAAGAAGATAATTTTGAAAAACAATTGGATAGAAGAGAAAACAGTCATCGAATTTCCACTATACATATATAAAGATGACAACGAAATAGACAAACATGTTGAGAAAGACTGCAATGCAATAGAGGATGTGGGGAGATTAAAGGTGAATGTATTCAAAGCCATTGACCATTATCCGGAGCACATCAGAAAAGCATGCAGAGTTGCTTCAAACATGTCAACTTCTCAAGCAAGTGTTGAGCATCTATTTTCTGGATTAAGATTGCTTTTAAGTGATAATAGGTAATGAAGGATGATCTGCTATCTGCCATTTTATTTATTGAAATCAACGAGGTTGTATGTTAATTTTTTTAATAATAAATTAGTTGTAAATAAACAAGTTTTTTTTTATATGTACAGTACTTATATATCAAAGAAAAAATTAATGTAATTACTATAAGAATATTTTAACTGGAGCATGGAGCGGAGCAACTCAAAAAATGGTCGCTCCAAAGCCCTGGAATTTAGAACAAAAATAAAAAAGCATTGCATGCACTTAATGGAAAATGGCCATGAAAAACTAATAACACAAGAACAAACCAATGAATTCTAATTGCTTTGTTCTTGGATCATCTCTCTCTGCCTGGTCAGTAGAAGGATTGTTATTCCCGTGACTGGCAAGTGCAAGGACAGCCTCTTCTGTGGCAGCAAGTGTAAGGATCATTTGTCCATACCTGGCCAGTGCAAGAATTCCCTCATCCATGCCTAGCAAGTGCAAGGATTGACTCATTCTTTCTGGATCTGCCTCAGTTCTGTCATGATATGACAGTCACATGATGTCCATAGTATTTGATCATATAATTGAAGGATATGTAAGTACTTGATATAATCTAGTTGATATAAATGAAAAAAAAGAAAAAGATACATTGTATATACTTTTTTATTAACTTTCTCATTGAATATTAACTAAAAATTCATCATTAGGGACTAGGGATTGTATACTGGTTTACCGATTTACCGGTTAACCGATAAATTGACAAAAAAAAACATTCGGTAAGCTTACCGGTAAATTTCAAAAATTTGCCGGTAATTTGGTAAATGAAAAATCGATACTAGAAATTTTTATGTAGAAAATATTGTGCTTATGGATATTTAAAAGAGCTAAAGGGATATTGAAAATAAAAAAACAGGTAAGTGTAAGTAACAATATACCTAATTATTAATTTTATGTGAGATATTTTTTGTTTAATTTTAATTTAAACTTTCTTGGGTTTGAGAGGCACTGTAAATTGTACAGAAAGCTCTAGTTAGCATATGTGATTTGTGCTCTGCAGTTTTTCGAGATTTTTAAATGTTTAAAATCTTACAATCAATGTTTTTCTTAAAGAGTAAGTAAATATCTCCTTTTTTAATATTTAAAAATAATAATACGTAAATATTTCACGTATTTTTTAAATTAATAGCAATTTTGAATACACCATGTATATGACAGGACATTAATGCAATATTATTGTAAAATAACATTAAAATTTGAACCGTAAATAAATTTTTTACTTCTAACAACTGTTTAAAATAATTAAATACAAATATTTATTACATGATTCTAATATTATGCCTTAAGATTGTGCAAAATATGTATTAATTTAACCTTATTTTTTTGGAGAATCCCCATTACTCTCATGAAAAGAACTTTCTTTAATTTTAGATTGTAGAACCAGGTGGAATAGCTTACTAAACATGCTGGAAAGGTTTTTATTACTTAAAGATGCTGCCCGAAAAAGTTTAGAAACCTAACCTAACCTAATCTGGATTATTTTGTACAAAAATTAGATCAAAATTAGGAGATATGACTTTAAATAATTTAAGTTTCTTGAGAAGTTATTTTTTAAAAAATGGTAATCAATAAAATGGTATTAGGTACTATATATTATTTCTGTTTTATTTTTATTTTTCTGTATTATTTTATTTATGTTTCTAAAAGTTATTATTATAGTTTGTTTAGAATAACACTTTAATTTTTATATTTTTTATATTCTATATCTTTGAAATAAAAAATGTGAAATGGAAATAAAATGACTTATATTTTTTATCACCTTAATTTTATTTTTCAGGAAAAAATTTACCGGTATTTTAATTTTCATTTACTGAATTACTGGTAAATGAAAAAGTCGGTAAATTTACAATCCCTATTAGGGTCACTTATGTAAATATCTATGTTGTTATGGAAACTGATATATTACAATTACAATAACAAATGTTTCAATAGTAACAATGGAAAAAAGGTGCAAAATTACATTAATAAAGAACTAACAAAAATGCTATTTTTTTTTACATTACAAAGATATGAGCCATTTCCAAGTTGTGGTTAAGAAGTCAGTCTCTATAGTTGAACACATTGTTTTCTAAACTCCTGATAAATCTATATTGCCTCTGCTATTCTTTGATTCTCTCCTATTGTTAAGGATTCTAACAACCATAAATAAATGCTAGTTTTGTATGTAAAGAATTTTTGCACCAGCATTTTAAAAAATATCAAGTGTAATTGAGCAAAGAATGAGCATTAAATTTTGTTTATGCAATGGAATTGCTGCTACAGAGTAATTGGAAATGTTGCAAAAAGGCTTTGGTGATGATAGTCTATCAAAAACAAGCATTTTTGAATGGTACAAGATGTTTAACCACTCAGCAGTGAGCCGACGACTATAGTTGTCAAGGGCGATTGTGTGGCAGTGGTGAGGGATGACTATAGTCATCAAATTTTTTTGGGAGGTATCGCCAAAAACTAGCCTAAAACTACCATGAAAAAAAATTCACATAAAAAATGAATTATGTAACAATAATAAAAGACTTTTCTTCACTAGACATAACTGTTTACAAAATCTTTTACCGAAACAGTAATGAGGAAAAAATGCGTGGAAAAATACTTTAAAAATTTCCCATGTTTATTCTCCACTACTGGGGGTAAACTATACCCGACTAGTCCAGTGTTGAAAGGTTAAGAAAGGCAGAAAATGTGTTGAAGATGAACCACAACTGACCATAATAGACCATTCACTTCAACTGATGAACAACACATTGCTCGAGTCAGTGATTTGGTGCTCAATGATTGTCATTTAACAATTAGGGACATTATTGAACATGTTCCAGTATCATTTGGATCTTTTGAAGCAATTTTAAAAGATCATTTGGGCTTGTGTCTTGTTGTTTCTTGAATCATCCTGAAAATGATGAATTTTTTTTCAAAAACAATAACATGTTTGAGTGGCTGAAGAAATGCTTTCTCAAGGCAAATTGTTCTTAAAATGCATCATTATGGGTGATGAAACATGAATTTATGTTTTTGACACTGATACAGCTCAACAATCCAGTGAATTGTGCTTGAAAGGTAAAGCAAGAATGAAAAGACCATGTCAAAGTCAGTCAAAAATCAAAGTCATGTTGACTGTTTTCCTTGCTTTGTCATAGTGTCATGAGTTATTTCTGACTGGCCCAACTGTCAACAAAGAACTTCATTGAAGCATTTTGTGTCTTGCATGAAGTAATTTGTAGAAAATGACATGATTTGTGGCAAGAAAACTCGTGGATTTTGCACCAAAATAATGTACCTGCTCACAATGCTGCTGCTGTTGATTTCACAAGCCATATTCGTTGGATATGGCACAGTGTGACTTTTTCCTGTTTCCTGGGCTAAAATTTCTGCTTTGTGGTCATAATTTTGAATTGATTGATGCCATAAAACAAAATTTGCTAGGAGTTCTGAAGGGATGTCATGAAAACAAGTGTAAAGCATGTTTTAATGACATCCCTTTTTGAGGGTTTGGCATAAGTGTATTGCAGGGGATTATGTTGAAGGGGAGAAAATAAATGTTAATGAATAAAATCAAATTTTGCATTTTATTGAGCCATTCCTGATACTTTTTGATCATAGGGTAAAGTCATCATAAAAGTATGGCACAGCACAAATTAATACTGTACAACTGAATCTGTATGTGTAATATTTCTTAACAAAGAAATTTCAATTTATTATTTGTAGTGTATAATACATTTGAACAAAATATAAAAGAAAATTACGTCATATCCTTTTAAAATATTGGTCAAGTTTTATTTAATTTTGTTTTTTTTTTTTTCCAACAAACTTTTCACCTACTGTATATTACATGACATCAGTTATCTGCTTCTGCTGAAACTTCGGTCACATGAAGGATTGATGAGTCATTCTAGAGATTAGGCCACACTAACAGAGAATAGTGAAAATGAATGAGAAAGTAGAAAGCAATTTTTATTTGCTTAGCAAAATTGGTTTACACTACAAAGTGTTGAAAATGAAAATTTTTAATGTGTTGGACTGGTGGAATGATTTGCTAAATTTATCAAAACAGTTATTTATTATTCGCATTGCTTTTTACATTTTATGGTGATTTGCTGTCAATGTGGACTAATTTGAAGTGAATACATAATTCACTTTTTCATTTTTTTTAATAATTGATGATAAATTTTACTTGATATTCATGGAAAGCATGTAATCCATTTTACTATCTACTTAATAGTGGTTGTGGAAAATAGAAAAGATAGAAAATTTTCATCTGTTGTTCACAGACAATGACTGCTTAATCAATATAGAAAACATTAATAGTTTTATTGCTTTGCCAGAATAGGATGATTTGTCTACTAAATTCAGGTTTCATCTGTATAGCAAATTACTTGTTTATTTATTAATAAAAATATTTTAAAATTTATTAAATTATAAATTTTTTAGAAGAGTTTTGAATAAAAGAGTGAGTTTAACAAAAATAAAAGAAAAATACGTTTATTTTTTAGAAAAAAAGCATAAAATAGAAATTTACAGAAATTATTTTACATAATTTCTGATATTTACAGAAATTATGCAATCAATTTTTAATTTAAAAAGTCGGTTTACTACTATAATTTTGAAAAAATTTATTGATTCAATTGCATACTCTTCAATATTATTTATTAAAATTTTTGTAATATACTGTATTTTGATGGAATGACTGGCATGCCAGTCTATCCGGGAAGATCATTAAATCAGATATTTCTATATAGTAAAAACTGGCATGTCTGTTTTATCCCAGGGAATGAAGGTTTAAGTGAGGTTATAGATTCCCCTCTAGAAGATGCATTAAAAAAACTTTTTATTTTAAAATAGTGAAACTGTCAGTATTACGTCAAAAAGTACAATTATGTAAGATGGCCGATCCGGGGGGGAGAAAAGGGGCTTGAAACCCACTTCACGGCAACTGTGTAAGGATGCCGTCTCTTAGGTGGGATCTATTAATCCCGCGTCAGGATGGACCTAAGGGAAGGTTGTATGTGGGCAGTGACGGAGGAGGCAAATGACGACAAGTGTTTTACACAAGAAAGCCGTTTATTTGTTAACATATATGCTTACATCGGCAATCGACAGTCCTTCACTAATTTCTTCCCTCGAAGATGCGGAGTGTGAGAACTTCGGCGTCGGTCGTAGCCCCGGGGCGGACGAGATGCTGTTGCTGATCACGGCGGACGATCGGAAGATATAAGCGGCGGAGTCCACAGTTCCTTTGCGACGACACACCACAATAGAAGTCACTACCTTTCGTGGAGTCGGAGGAGAGCCCCCCTGACCTCGGATTTCGGATTTTTATAGTTTTTCTCTTCCACTATTCGGACTTCCGATTGGCCCTTCATCCCCTTTCTCGCTTCCCGATTGGTCTCTCTTTTGTTTTGGGATAAACTGAGACCGCCTCAGGTCACGAGAAAGGTCCGATTCCAGGTGTCTGCTCGACGCCGTTCTGTCGATTGTTGACAATATTGCAAGACTCGCGCTCATAATTTAGCTCCGTTACTCGCGATTTCTGTCATCTGGGTACTCGAACGATCATATGCAATGATTTATCTCTCTTAAATCTTTCCCTCTTTTCAGAAATTGTTTCCCTAGATTGACTGTTTATGAGAGCTGGGGTCAAAGTTCTACCTGCATATGACCACTTGTCTCTGAATTATAACTTTTCATTCTGACATTGACAGTTAGTTTAACACGTGTTCGAGTCATCCGAGACTCTTTGTCTACATTTTGTGCCGCGTTGTTTAAATTATGGGATTTTCCTCTCCCTCTCATAATTAATCTATCGTTATTATTTAATCATAGGAATATCGCGATTTACATGATTCGGACCTCGGTTGGGTCTTCACAATTATATGTTTAATTTCTTCATTTTGTCATCTTTCTAACAATGTAAAATACTCTTGGGATGATAAAAGTGCTTTTTTTATGTTTTTTTTTTTTATTGTAATTCAATTTAAAAATGCAAAAATAAGCATATTAAATTTTAGAAACTGGCAGTAAATTATCTTGATTTATATACCATTAACATCTGCTTTGTATGAAATTTGTGAGAAAGGTGTTATTTTCATGGTCAGGGTAGATGGTCAGTGCAACCCACACTGACTAACTTTTACTACTACTAGTGTCAATGAGCCATTAATTGTTTTATTGCACTTTAAAGGAAAACTCCCTTCCTGATTTTAAGTCTGTTATAATGTTTATAATGTTGTTATTTTATTGTAATCAAAAGAATATCTTTTTAACATTTAATTAACAATAATTTTGTTACATTCGATTATTTTTATTTTTTAGTTGCAGTTTAACTGGCATGCCGGTAACCCCAGGGTTTCCAGCACTCTGGTTTCTCCTGGTTTTATGTGGCATGCTGGTCATTCTGTGAAAATACGGTACTAAAAACTAATTTTTAAAAAATATATTAAGTTTAGTTTTTAAAATTTATATATGTATATTTTAATATAAAACTTTTTATAATTTTATTTATTTTTGCAGACTCATTGTACATTAAAAACATTTCCAAATTTTCCAAAAGATCTGCATTCTTATTTTGATTTTAAAATAGGAGTAATATATGCTGCATGGATTTTACTGCAAACAGTTTTTATGTTTTTACCATTTGGTAATTTGATAAAAAGTTTTTCGTTATCAGCCAAAAAAACAGAAATTGCCATCAAATATCGTTTAAATGGTAAATATTTTTAATGTAAGCTTTCCATAATAATTTAAGTTTAGATTATTGATCTATTATAAAATTTATTTGAGAGTAACTTAAAAACTTTTAAAATGTAATAATAATAATAATATCCTTAAAGTATAAATGTTAAAATTTGAAATTTTTTTATACAATTATTATTTTTTTGAGATTATTTTAAATTATCTGTTATTTGAGTTATCTCGGGGCCTGAATATTTTTTTCTGATCTCATCCCTCCTTAATTATCTCAGGTCTATACAAGTGGTTAAAGGCAGTACCATCAATTGTCTGTTTGGCCTTCTAAAAACAGTCAGTGATATCCCTATAAATCACAAATCACCAAATAACAAAATAAAACATAATTACATAAACAAATTTGTGAGTTGTTATTATTATTATCAAACAAATTAATAACAACTGTTGTTAGTCACCATCATGTTTCAAATATAGCATTACATAAAAATTTCAAATGGTTATAATTTTCTCTTTTGTAGAATTTTAATAAAGGAAATTTAAGAAGATAATATTGCAGAATTCTTAGTTTAGTTACAAATGATGATTAATTATATTTTTTAGAATGCAAAAATAATAGAGAATTTGTCTTATTATTTCTAGGTTTTATTACACTTCTCATTTCATGCATAATTGTTGGTGTATTGATTTATCTGAAACAACCTTTGGAGATTGTTTATGATAAATTTCTTCAGTTAATAATTACATCTATCATCTTTTCCAATACGTTTGCCTTGATAGTATGTATCAAAATATATTTATATAAAAGTAAGTATTTTGACATTGTTTTAACAAATAGAAATTAATATTACAATATGTGTTTATTGTTATATATGCAGTTATGAGGAAAGTATACATAAGCAAAAGCATGGTGATCATTATTTTAATTAGTTTAACTTTGTTTTCTTAAATATATAACAATAATAATACTATATTATTTTTCATAGTAATATTAATTTGATAAATATGAATTGTGTTCACTAAATTAAGTGAAATTAATAATTAAATTGTACAACTTGCTTTTTGAATTTTCATCTTTTCAATTATTTGGTAAATGAATCAAAAGATGCATGGTTTTGGTTCTTCTAATAATATCAATACATACATATTTTTTTAAGTTTTACATTACTAGATAAAGAAATTGATTTGTTTTCTGTAATGAATATATCTTAAGACAAAAAATAATAATTTTGATATAAGCTATTTTTTTGTGTGTAGTTCACAATATATTTCCTTTCACAGAATCAAACTCTGTGACCAAACTCTATTGCAGGGTTTATGAGAAGAGCAGATCTGACCTCTCAGGTCAAACCAAAGAGAATGATGGTTAGAAAAAAAAAATGCTATTTATTGTATATATGAATAATTAACAACAATATAAAAAAGTCAATGGATTATTTAATAGAACAAATGGTTTAATAATAATAATAAATACAAACACAAAAGTTATCAAAGATATAAGAGCTAGTAATAAATTCAATAAATGTATTAATTTCAATAAAAATTCAATGGTTAAGATAATTCCCACAAAAAAAATACAAAAGTTTTTTTTAAATATATATATATTATATTATATAGCTAAAAAATATCTTGACTTTTATCTGTAGTACTACTAGTATGATTTATTTTCTTAATTCAAATGTTTTTTTTTAATCTAAAAAGAAAAAAGTTTAAATTTATTTATATTTTAAATATGAAAAGAACGTTTTTTAATTATTATGATTTTTTTTCAAGAATCTAAAGAAGCAAAGCAATATCTAGAATCCAATCCACGTTTTGGTGAAATGTTTGATCTTAAATTATATTGCTACCGATTAGGATTAATTTCTTGGGTATGAATTTATTTTATAACATTTTGTAAGTTTTAAAAAAAGTTTTGAAAACTGTTATTAAATTAATTTTATTTATATTATTATTCTACTTGTTTGTAAATTAATCTACATTGTAAATTTGTTATGATTTCATTCTATTTATTTTTTAGGTCATTGTGAACCTCTGTTTGTTATACAAAAGTATTTTTAAAGATAATTTCACAAATATTGCTTTAATAACATCAATTGGTTATCAAATATTCTATGTTCTAGATTTATATTGGAGAGAGGTAAGTTATTAACTATTATTGGAGAAGTTAACTAAAATTATAAATATACATGTTTTTTGTACATTAATAATCCTATAATGATGTAAATTATTTTTTTTTATATTTAGGAAGCACTTGTAACTACCTCAGCTTTCCAATATGATCAAATTAATTATTTTATGATAATAAGACTATGTACATATATTCCATTCATTAGTACAATTCCATTGATATATATGATTGATTATCCCAATAAAAATAATAATTACTGGTTAATAGGCATATCATTTATATGTTTTGGTAAGTTCAAGGAAATTATTATTATTACTATTACTATAAATATTAATTGAAATAATTAAAATTATATATAAACATAAAATAAATATATTCTATGTGCATATGTATATGCATGTGTAAGTTTGGCCGGTGAAAAAAAGGGGGAAATTTATTTAATCCCACGTCAGGGTTGGCAAGGGTCACTTGCGAATGTGGGTGGTTGTGACAGAGACATAGATGACACTGCACCTTTACAAAAACTGTTTATTGAAGCAGAAAGAATTACTTACATTAGGATGATGATCACTTCCTCAAGCAGCACAGAACGTTCTAAAGTCAATTGATTGACAGTCTTACAACGAGACATTTGATGTAAGGTCCTGGGACTGTGACATGGCTAAGTTTAGCAGAGGGTGATGCTCTGTGTGAGAATCTTGAGGACAGATGGGATGGAGAACTCATGGAGGTGCAGAAGATATCAGGCAGATTTTCACTCTGGGTGACAGATTTATCACGAATTGCAACTGGTGAGGACTGTCCTCTGACATTATGATGACATACCATGTGTGTGTTGACTGCCCAAGTGCGAGTGCAGTGACACTGTGCGTTTGTGTTGTGTCCTTGAGGACACAACACAAACGCACAGTGTCACTGCAGGAGGATCAAGGATTATATTAATCTGTGTCTTTTGATCATTCATTCCGATTGGTCGGTTTCCCTCATCTGCACTTTCTGAGTGGCTGGCCCCTCATTACTAAGCATAATGGGATCCTGACTTGTATCATGGGAGAGGTCAACTTGAAGCTAGATTTGATCCCTCAAGCAGAGATGGTCAATCTTAGGTCTACATTTCTTCTAAAATTTATGACTCTTAGTTACATTTGAGCATAAACAAAAATTGTGTCTGACGTTTTTTTTCTCTTTTTTTTTTATATTTTTTTTTTCTAAAGCAATTAAATTTTCATGAATTTTGTGATGGTTTGGACCTGTCTGGGACTTCACACATGCACATTGAACCAAAAATTTTTCAATATTTTATTTTTCATGTTTTATTTTGAAATTATTGTACGACCCCGCTTAATGCTGCCTCAATTAACACTGATTTGTATAACGCAGTCTGCTCGAAATCTAAAAAAAGCTCAAAATTTATGCTGATTTAAATTATCACAGAATTTCATTGATTTGTATATAATATGATTATTTATGAACACAAACCAATCAGCAAAATTCATTGTAGTGCTGTACTTCCCTTAAATCTATGTTTGTTTTGTGCAATTTTGAAAAAAATATAACATCATGGATGCCATATGCAATATTGACTTCACTTGGCAAGAATTAATTGAGAAATGTGTGTATTGCTGTATCGTTAGGTTGACTAAATTGTCAACCTAATCAATACTGTAGGGACTAGGAGATGTGGATGAGCAGGATATTGAGGAATTACTGAAGGTTTCTGGTGAGAGCCTTACCAACAACAACCTTCAAGAACTGGCAGAACAAGGAATTCATGTAGAACTGGAAAATACAGATTTTGAAAATGAAGAACCCAAAGAATTTCTTTACAGATTTCCTTAGTAAAAGTTTGGTAACAATAACTGAAATTGTTAATCAAATTGTAGTGAATGATCCAGATTTTGAAAGGAGTGCAAAAGCAAGACGAGGCCTTTTGGATGCAATCTCCTGCTACCATCATTTGCTTAAGGAAAGAAAAAAAGTGAAAAATGAAACTAGACAATTTCATTGAAAAAATCAAGAATTTCAGAAGATCCAGGGCCTTCTCAAAAAACAAACTTTACATTTCTTTGTATGTGTTATTTAACATATATTATTATGCAAATTAATATAAAAACAACTTGAAACATGATCTTCTTTCCCTATTTACTCTATGTTAAAATGACCTTGTTTAATGCTGTTTTGTTTAGCGCTTTGTCATCTAGGAACATATCCCCTGCATTAAGCGGGGTCTTACTGTAATTATTCTCATTGATCAAAAATTAATTACTTTAATTTCCTTAATCAAAAGAAACAACTTTTTTAGTTTCTTTAATAAAAGTGTTTTTAACTACTATTGAGTCCTCTACAGTGACATCTTTTGCTTTTTAGAATTTCTCAAAGAAGAATGTATACATCATTATATTTCAGAATATTGTTTAAATTTTGTTCCATAATTTTGTGTTAAAAAGTGTTGTTAAAAATTTTTAAAGATTTTTAACAATATTATTGTTTAAAATGTATTATTGTTTAAAACACATAAAGAAGGCAAAGAAATAAGGCCAATAGTGAAAAAACGTAAAGCCCCTACATTTTTCTTGGAAAAAAGATTACATGGTTATATCTCTTCCTTACTGGATAGTAGTGCGCTAGTTGCAAAAGATCCCACAATAGTTGTTAAAGAATTACAAGACATAACTTTGATGAATGAGGAAATTGGAACAACATTAGACTATGAGAGTTTATACCCCTCCATTAAGATTGAGTCCTGTTTGGAAGCACTCTTGGGATTCTTGTTTAAAATAAACCCAGAGTTAGCACACCACAGAAACGAAGTTTTAGAGATGGCTAAACTTGTATGCTGTGAATCCTTCTTTGGCTTTGAAGGCCAAACATAAAAAACAGAATAGGGGAGTTCCTATGGGAAGCCCAATTTCGGGGCTCTATGTGAAATGGTAATTAGAAAAGTTGAAGAAAAAGTTGTACATAGCTTCAGGAGTAATATTGTTTACTACAAGAGATATGTTGATGACATTTTTATAATATGGAAAAACAATAGAGCAATTAGTAACTTTAAAGAAAGTATCAACGACAACGAAGATGGCCTAAATCTGAAGCTAGAACAAAACAGTTCCATAGTTATACATTTCTTAGACATCAATATCGTCTTTAAGAATGGGCATATATCCACCAATGTGTACACCAAACCTACACATAGCCCACTATATATCCCTGCACATTCTAATGATCCGTTTCGTTATAAATTGGCTGCATTTCGTGCCCTAGTTAGAAGGGCCTTTTTATACTGCGGCAATATTATGGACAGAGACAAAGAAATCGACAGGATTAAACGGATAGCAGAATCCTTAGGCTACAGGAAAAACATAATTGCCGGCATTGTTAGAAACTTTGAGATAAAGGATACAAAGGTTTCTAAACAAAGACCTAGTAAATACATAAAATTCACCTACAACAAAAATGTAAGAAGCGTTATGAAGGAGAAGAATCAACGGTGATTTTAAAACGAGCTCCTAATTTATTTAAAATTCTAAGAAACGATAAAGGGGATATTAAGAAAGAAGATAAAGCAGGAGTTTATAAGATCCTGTACGAGAACCAACAATTAGGATTAAAAAAAGGAGTACATAGGAGTTACAACGAGGAAATTGGGGGTAAGGGTCAGAGAGCATAAATATGATGTTAGGAAAAAATCAAACGCAACTGTGCTGGCTCAGATGGCTCAAGCCCAAGGTTCCGTAGTTGGATGGGAAGAAGCTGAAATCATTAAGCAAATACTCTCTCCAACTTTAGCGAAGACAGCCGAAAAAATGGAAATATACAGAAGCAAACTTGAATATATATTACTTTCCAAACAATCCAATAAATAACTGTGAGGCCCACCATTCCATTATTCCCCCCAAATTTTGGTTGTTGTTATGTACCTGTGTATATATATATATATATATTCATGAATTATTATTAACATTATCTTTATCATTTTAATTTTAAGCTAATAATGATTATCATCCTCTTCAATGAAATTTTAAACTTATTATTTATATTTTAAACTATATATGTATTTTACATCTCTTTCTTGTTTTGTCTGGTTGCTCATCAAACAATTGCTAGCTATTAGACAAGATGCCCTTTGCACCCACATCTGGAAGATGTGTGTGTGAATGTGACACTGGGATTGTTTATGTTGATTAAGGAACATTGTAAAGGAATTTTCCTATTTTTTCAATTTTAGGGAGCTCCCCTTCTAAACTTTTAGCAATACCAATTAAAAATAATTAAGAGAAACAAATTAGAATAAAAAAAATTATCAATTAATTGTTATTTACAAATCTCACAACATTTGGAGGAAAAGATGAAGGGGATGACTGTCATTTTCCCCTTTTTCAATAGTGTTAGATGGACACAAACAATTCATAATAGACAAGAGAGAAGGAGGACTAAAGAATAAACAATTGCACTTATCCTTCATTACCTCAACTTCTTTTGGAATAAAATCATGATTGTTTAAGAAAAAGAATAAAACAAAAGGGAATGATGAAAAACAGAGAGGAAGAGAAAGCAGAAAGTGAGAGAAAGAGAAGAGATGAGAATGAACACAACATTCAGAAACAGAGTCAACTCTGAGAAAAAAAGGCCAACACAACAGTAGAGAACTGCACCAGAGGAGTGTGTTAAATCTAAAGGATATAGAGTCAGCAAAAAGAGAGAGATAAAGAAGGTAAAGGATAAAGTGCAAAAGGAACCTACAAGAAGACAACTCTTTTCCTGGGATGTTGTGAGTTACAAAGTTTTGGATATCCCCGCCAAGTACCCCTCGTTTTATTAATATAGAAATACGCTAACTTCCGAGGACAGACTTTGTATTTAATATTAATTTAAAACTTAATTCTAATGTTATGTTTAGTTTTCTTTGTAATAAATTTTCCTTTTTATTCTTAAGTTGATTTAATGGATTTTGCATTCATTTTCCTGAGAGGCTCATTCCTGGACTTTGGAGTGACTCTTACCTTCACACTTTACATATTTGACTTCCGTATAGTCTAGATTGGAGGTGTGTCTGATAATACACACCTGGTGGCAGGATCCTACTCAAAACTCCCAGAACTTGATTTTTGACAGCTCCAAGTCCCCATATAACATCAAACTTATTTCAATTTTAACCACGACATGTTTTGTAGAAAATTTTTTGCCAAAAAATTAATACATTGTAATATGTTTTAAAATGCTCTTTCAGTTTATAATAAATTAATATTAAGTTCAGTTTACTATCCCCTGCATTAAGCGGGGTCTTACTGTAATTNTTTAAAATGCTCTTTCAGTTTATAATAAATTAATATTAAGTTCAGTTTACCTAATAAATTAATATTGAGAATTTTTATTTCATTTTTATACATTATTACAGTTTCTGGTTATTGGATTTACCTGATATCAACTAGAGAAAAATATATGTCATGCAAAAGTCCTAATGATCCAACTGTTTCTTGTAAGTTTATATTTTTATATTAATTGTTAATGAAAAATATATATTTTACATATTAAATAAAAACTTAATTATGTAGATCAGGCCTGGCCAACTTATACTAGGGGTACAATCTATTTTTGTGTATCAAAAATATAGATGATCTATTTTCATATTTTTATTTTTTTTAATTTATTAGTTGATCACATTTACACAATAAAATTATGCTGCAAAACATAGCTTTATTTTTATATAGTATGATATATATCAACATTCAAAAGACCAGTATGCATTTCAATAACAAAAATCAATGCTGTCTTTCTCAGTTTTTTTTAATTTTACAACTCTTTCAACTGACATACAACACCATTAAAAATTTTATCTTTTTACAATGTTATAATAAAAATACAATTAAAATACCATAAGATTAATATACAGTATATAAACTATATCCTACATACAATTTTCAACAAAATACATCCTTCTTTTGGAAAACAAATTCCATCAGAGTATCCTTTTTTACAACTATCTTCTTCCAGTAAGCATACATATTGCAATCACATGTCAGGCAACTATCCAATATTATTATTCATGTAATAATTAACTTTTGTAAAACATTCACTCATCTTTTATTACTAACACTATTTTTATTAAACTATTCAATACTTACATTCCATTATTATTTTTCCCTCCTTTTTTTATTTTTTCAATTTACCCTACCAACACAGACCATCTACATTCCACTACTCCAACATCCTCAACAATTCATTAACACAGACCTTTTACATTAACCAAAGTGTCCTTTTCTCTATTTTCAAGGCTTATATTTAAATAATAATGCCATGACTTGTCAATTTCCCTCTTTAGATTGTTATTCATTTTGGTCTTTACACATAATATTTTTCAAATGTTTTAACAGTAGTCTTCTATATACATTTTCTTTTTAAATTCTAATGCTATTTAAATTCATTATAATGCATGTCCATCACTAAATTTATGTACAATAGAATCTCATTTTAATGGATCATGGAACAATGGATTTTTTTCCCAAGTCTTGCAAATCAATTCCTTTGGATTGCTCTGAGCTTCCGGGGGCTCGAGCTTTTATACGTTATTTGTGGGAAAGGAGTCACGTGATCGACTTCTGTTGACACTAACGGTGCATTCCGATCAACCAAGTGTCAACTTTCCTACCTAATTGTGAAAACAAACTCCAATATAATTCTCACCAAGAGTGTTTTTTCTATCGGAGTTGTTTACAATTTATTTTTTTTTTTCGACATCTACGTAAAAATCACGGATCTCACGGGAATCCTGGAACAAGCAAAAGACCAGGAAATGAGAAACCCTAGCATGCATGCATGTGTGTCACATATGATGGAAGTCCCAGAACAGAGCTGTGTATTTATATTGAATTCAATAAAAATAGTAAAAATATAATAAAATTAAATAAAAATAATAAATATTATTAACAACATAATCAGAGATTATAATCAATGTTAGTTCAGCTAAATAAACTTTTAGATAAAATGCAACAATTTTTATTAATAAGAACTATACATAAAAATTAGTGATGTAACGAATATTCGGTTACTATTCGGCCTATTTTTCACTATTCGGCCGAATACCGAATACATAAACACAGGAGTAATAAATAACAAAAACACAGGAGTAATAAATAACAAAAACACAGTAAATTAATCATTTTGGTATTTAGAGTTAATGTTATAGAGTTAGTGTTGTTTGTTTATATTTATTTATAACTTGTAACATGCACAAAATAAAAAAGAAAATAATATTAGTCACATGTATTCACAATTTATAATTACAAAGATCAGCACACGTACTGTACACGTCTATCGTTGGAGAATCCTCGCACATCTGAGGATCTGACCCTGCCTATCCTTCTTTTTAAGTGTTCGTCTTTGCTCTTCCCTTTCTCTTTCCTCTATCGCTCTAATCCATGTATGCCTGTGCATACATCATAATACGCGCTCACGATACTTTCGATTCGTCACTTTTCCGTCGTAGAGTTCCCATTTTACAATTACGTGACTCAGCCTGGTGATAACGGAGAAAAGAGACAGATAGGACGTCGATATAAGTCACAGTTATGATTTCACAGATTCGAGACAGCTTGATAGCCCGAACGGCCCCAGGCTTTCGCCCGTGCACGCTAAGTGACTTTCATTACAAGCATTTAGCTTTCCGAAGTCTATGACAACAATTGTTTGGCATTGACGGCCGCGAATTTCGTGCCAATAAGCTGCCTCGACTTGTTCGATTATGTTATCGACTCAATTTCATATTTATTTTCACATTTTCACTTCGCGGTCCTTCTCTGTTCTTTTTCCGTTATTTACACATGTAGGCCATTTCATTGTTATCCACATTTGATATCATCATTTATCACATACTTCCATGACACTCTTGTCTGTCCGCTACAACTGCCAAGAATTAACGCGATTGGCGAAGCGTAGTGACAGCGGGCCAATAGAGAGCAGGGTCCTCGCCATAATGCGGTTTGCGCGGCAATTTTTGTACGTGCGTTAATCGAGCCGAATAGTTTGGCCGAATATTCGGCTATTTGGCCACGCTCATGGCCGAATATTCAGTATTCGGCCTGAGGCCGAATATACTATTTGTTACAACACTAATAAAAATAATTAGTTTTAGCAGTAGTTACTTTATAGTTTTTATTAAATTTTTAAACACTTTCTCTCAAGTTATATATGAATATTTTGTTAAAAGGTAGAAAAATTAAAATCTGTTAAAATTCAGTTTTAATTGAAATTACTCTTTAAGTGTGTTAAAATTATTATATAGTATATTTTTTCTAAATATGAGGGTAAGTCAAAAAGTAAGTTTCCCTATGTTATTACTTGGTAACAGCATAATGCAGCTTGCTGCAACTTATGTAACTGCTAGTGTGTGATGGGTGACATACAGCTGAACTGGCCAGTGAAGCAAAACCCAGGTCTGATGACAGTTTCAAAATGGCAAAGGTGTATGTGGTCAAGGGAGGTGTACACAGTCATCCAGTTTTTGTGGGCAGAAATGTGGAACTTGTAAATATTCACAGAGGGATTGTGTCTGTGTATGGAGCAGATATGATGTCTGCCCAACAGAATGGTGCTATGCATATGGTCAAGTGACTGTGAAAGACAAAGAACAGAGTGGCCAACCATCAACATTAGATGTGTCCTGAACCATCAACTATCTAACCATCAGTCTGTTTAAACTATTGAAGAAACATCTATTGGGTAGGCAAACTCTGTCAAGCATGGAGTTATGAAATGGCTCAATGAGCAGTATGCCGCTTTCTATTGTTGGGGTATGGAAAATCTCATTGCATGTTATGATAAATGTCTGAACAAATTTGGTGATTATGTCACAAAATAAAGAAGTGATGCCAAAAAAAAAACTGTGGGAAAGATAGCACAATATAAAGCAATCTCCTATAAACAATTAGGGAAACTTACTTTTTTGACTTATTCTCATATATTAGTTGTAATAAATATATAATATTTTAAAACAATTTTATTGATAATTAATTAAGCTTAATATTTTAGATGTGAAACGTATTCCTTCTATTGCAAGTAAAAATGAAAGATTTGTTTCATCTTCAAATTGGTGGAGTAAAGTCAGATATCCAAATTACCTTGGTGAATTTTTGATGCACATTGCTTGGACCTTACCCTGTGGTTAGTATTTGAATTTTATATATAACATAAATTATATTTAGCAGGGGTTACTCTGGAAAATTTAAAAATATTGCCAACCATTCCTCAGTTTTAAATATTTTTTGTCACTTCAAATTATTTATCATCACCAGTTTACTTATTAATGCTGGTAGCCTTTCAGTTTGGCATCTGGAAAGCAAAAGTAACATAAGCTGTCACTTACAAAGAGAGAACCAGACTTGTGAGCTGTAGCCTTAAATACAAGCAGCTTCTTGTCCAAATAATAGGACCCATTTTTCAAGTGTTTCCTAAAAATTGGTTTCTGAAAATTTAGTGTTTAGCTTATGTCTTTGGAAGTTTCACAGCTCTGAATGATGATAGCTGGTGGATAAGACACTAGGTACTGGAGCTAGATGTAGATTTAAANGTACTTTTTATATTTATATATATATATATATATATGTGTGTGTGTGTAAGATAATTATTTTATTATTTTACCAAATCATTGGCATTATTATTACTATCATTATTCCTCATGTTTAAAGCTTATATAATAAAAAATTAATAATTGCTTTTGTTAAACAGGAAATGACATCACAAGTCTCTGTAGATTTCACTCTTATATGCTGTTATATAAGACTTTTATTTCTTCACATTTATTTTCACATATTTTACATACTCTGTCTTCAAAAGCAAATAAGCTTCAGATGTTACTGCACATGAAGTAAAAAGACAAGTGATATGAAAATAGGGTAGCATAGTTGCAGTGTTTTATTTTTTTTTATTGTTAATATTGTGGCAGTTTTGTCATGTGCTAATGTTTGTTACAATTCAAATATCACAATAATACCACCATATCTTAAAATAAATATGAAGAAATAAAAATTTTATTTAACAGTGTAAAAGAGTTAATCTGTAGAGACTTGTTTTTGCTAAACAGGAAATGACATCACGATTTTTAATTTGTTGTTTTATCAGCTTTGAGAATAATAGTAATAATAATGTTAATGATACAGTAAAATAATAATGTGGGATGCCGGAGGTATGACAAGGTCGTACCTCTTTTTGTCGGCAACAGTTTGGTGAAAACTGCCCCCTTGTCAGGGGATGGCTTGTTTACGAATTTTGATCCCGAGAGGTCGGGATTCTTTTTGTCAGGTCAAGTGGAGGAGGTGAGAGGGGTCATCAATGAGGTGTAGGCAATATGTGAGTAAATGACACCATTTAACAATGGAAACAATGGTTTATTAGATTAAACAAAAATTAACGATTACAAACTCTAACATCAAGAACTTTTCACTTGGTTCGCTAGCTCCTAATACACGGAGAGAGAGTTCACATTAATTGTTTCGTACCTCTAGGATAATTCCACGTAGAAGAGAAAATATTGTCCTTTGTCTTGTGATTGACACACACAGTTATAAAATCCTCAAAGACTTAATCATTTCCGACCAGCCGTAGATGAGAGACTCCCTCGAGGTGGGGGACAGAAGTTGCTTTTATAACTTCGTGGTGGGAGAATTCGTCATGTGATCAACTATTGTGGGAGGTAAGGTTGGTTTTAGCAGGTGTGGAGGTTAAAGTTGTTCCCAGGACCACACCAAAATGATGAATGTGGACTTTAATTGTAAACTTCAAGTCTTGCAGCAGAATAATGCCATCGTTGGATGGTTGAATGTTTACATTAAAGAGGAGAGTTATAAGTTTCAATCGTTGTTGATGAGATATTTGATTGCTTTTTTCTGACAATATTATTTTAACGAGGAAACGACAAATTTATTTCAAATATGTCTAAAGTTTAGATGGAAAGTGAAAAAATTAGGTTTACACTCGGGTCAGATCTCACATTACATATAAAAGAAAAAAACAAAACTAAACTAACATTCTGAAGAATTGAACCTACATCATCCAGCTGTGTGAAACTTTCAAAGACTTAGAACCTAAACACTAAATTTTCAGAGGCCCATTTTTGGGAAATGCTTGAGAAGTGTGTCCTATTATTTGGACAAGGAGCTTTTGTGTTTAGGGCTATGTGCTCACAGAGTTTTGTTTGAAATGGAGACCCAAACATCTGACCCTCCCCTCTCCTTGTTAGCAATAGGAATTATTTTTGAATAATTTTTTAATGAATAATTCTGAATAACATATTTGATCACAATGTTTAAACAGTATTTCACATGTTCTGTCATGCCAAAATTTTTGTTTTAGTCTACTGAAAAAGATTAAAGTGAAAAAAATGTCATCCCAAAAAATTTCTTGGATTTTCTATTGGTCAATAAAAAAATTCCCAATCTGGAAATGCTGGAGGCATTACACAAAACTGCCTACAATTATCAACATCATTTCTTACTTTTCTCCCCAAACTTGCTGTGTGACATTATGAAATTGCTAAGGGTATATATACTTTTAGAATCAAACTGATCCAACATTACTTTGATTGTTCAAATTGTGTATATAAATGAACCATAGTGATCTGATCAGTCTCTATCCACATATAAAAACACCATCTAGGATCAACTGGATTGCAATCAAACTAATCTGAGCAGAGGGTAGGATTGTTTAGATTGGATTAAAAAAAAAGATTAAAGATGGCAACTTCCATGATTAAAGCCAAGCTTATAATTAACAGCAAAGAAATATGTTTAATGGTTGACAGTAAAAGGTATTTAAAACTTATAAATGGTAAGTAAAAACATTATTAAAATATCCAGTAAACTGATATGAAAAAATGTTAAGAGACAATTTTGCGAGTTTGTACAGTGAGAATGCATGGCTTACATTTTGCTATTTTGTGAACAATTTTATTCACAGAGTAAATATGATTTGATCCTTGTATACTTTCCACCAATTAACACAGGAGTGAAGAAATCTGTAATACATGACAAAGACTGATCTGATCTTACAGATTGATTCATTTGAAATGAAAAGTATATGCACCCTAGGTTTGTGGTGCATGGGACTCTCATTGCATGGAAGCTCAATATTCTGTTGTTTTATCCTCAAGTATGATTTGTAATTCAATTTCACATTGTATATCAATATGAGCAGACTAGGGTTTTTATCACCATTTTAATAAAAATATCACCAAATGGCAATTTTGGTGCTATACAATGTGACCCCTGATTTAGTAATTAATTGAAATTTAAACTGAAACAAAGTATTTTAAAAACTGGTAAATTTTTTACATATACAATGAGTGATCAGTTAATGAACAGTTCAGATAGCAAACAAATTGGATAACGAACACTTTCGCAAAAGATTTTTATGATCGGATAACAAACACTTTACTGAACAAACATAAAAAGAAGCAACGGAAAATAACGAATACCAATTGATTTTCCCTTGTCTTCAGGTAACAATTCGAAACCTTCTTCTTCTTCTACACAATTTTATACAGAGATATTAGCATGTAGGCTTTTTCTCCGAATAGACAATTCGAAACCTTTCAGAACATGCGAGACATCAACATTGACGCTCAACCCGATACCAATCGGATAGTATCCCCCTGAATTTTGAAACTCTCCCTTGTAATTCCAGCTTTTTGTTTACCTTTCTGACAAATAATTTTTTATACTCTTTGCGAGACTGTCGGACGGGTACTTGTTAAGTTTTGCAGTCAGGGTTTATTTACGAAAGGTGAAAGTTTAACTTTCCCATCGGATATTTGTTAACGTTTTAATACCAAATTTCAAATTTCATCTGGGCTTTGCATTTAAATAATTTTTTGTGGGATAGTTGATTTCTGTTCTCTGAATTTTTGTAAGTGCTTTTCTGAACTTTTTATTTAAAAAAGAAACTGATAATGTGGAGCCTAAAAAGAGGAGTGTCAAGAACTGTACTCACCGTAGAAACCAAAGAGATAATAGCCAAAGTAGAAAGTGGGCACAAGATGTCTGATGCTGCTAGGCAGTATGCTTGAACAGGTCTACAGTAGGCACAATCTTAGCTATGAAAGAAATAAAGAGCATTTTAGAGCTCATAATGGAACCTGAAACTGGTCTGACGACAGAAGAACTCCAAGAACTCTCAAATGAAGAAACTCGGCGAGATGTATTTTCTTTTGAAAAAGAGGAAGACAAAAGAGGACCAATGTTGACATATGTTACTAAAGATCTTTTGAAGAAGTGGAAGGATGTCGGAACAATGATCATCCGAGTGGCATCCAAATCAGAATAAGGTTAATGGGGTTGGGGAACTCTACAATTGCAATATTATCAATTACTTCTGAAAAATCCCGAAGAAAAGAGAAAAGCAATCAACATTGGACAGATTCTTTAACCCCCACAAACAGAAAAAAGTGATTGATAAAAATGCAAGACTGCATATATATGTATTTTTACTATTACATATAAATAAACATAGTAAAAAAAAGTATTTATTTTTTGGAGTCTCTGGAACAAATTAATCAAATTCCCATAAAAACCTATGGTAAATCGATAATCGGTTAATGAACAATTTGGATAACGAACAAAGTCTTGGAACGGATTATGTTCATTAACTGATCACCCACTGTATAATGCAATTAAAGAAGAAATACATTCAATTTTATTGAAATATAATAATTTGTTATAAGGAGAGGATGAATATATATTACTATATAAAGATAAAATATTCCATACTTTGAATAAAATTTTCATTTGAAATTTTTAAGTTGCATTTAAGATTGTAGCTTTCAAGTTGGTGCCAAGATTGAACAATATAAGTTATATGTATAATCATTGGTCTAACACAATGGTATTGATTAGATGTATTTAACATTCAATGTCTTAAACATATTTGTGTAGTCCAGTTTTGATTTATCCTCTAGCTTCTTTTTATCTTTCTATTTCACTATTCAAAGCAGTGATGTACACAAAGAAACTTGCATAGACATTTTCATTTCCATCATATCAATTGTAGTTACAGAGCTATTTAAATATATTTTCTTCATATTACTTTCAAATGAATGGAAACATTTATCATCAGAAAAGGAGCTACCTGTGGAACCTTCTCTGCACTTCAGATCACAATTGTACTAAGAACAAATTGAAATGAAATTATTCAACAATCATCTTATGAATTTTTTAGGATGTTTTCAATATGTGAATGATATTCTTATCTTGTGGTTGAAAAACGTTCTGATTTTTATTTATTTAAGCAGATTTTGATCTCAACTTTTCATTAATGTTATTCAGCCTTTCATTTCTTCCTTGGTAGTAACTTTCTTTGATTTGGTGGTCATCAGATCTTCACTTATGTTTCAGTTTCAAGTCTATATTAATTAGTTGTATCATAGATATTCCTTCCAGTTATTTCTTTTCAATAAGAATCTTATTTATTAGTGGCCATCTATTCTTTTATAAAAAGAATGTTTGTTTTTTTTACTGTTTTATGAAACTAATTTCAAAAATGGAGTTGGAAAAGAATAAAATCAGTTTGCTTTTATTAGGATATCAGCAAAAAGTTTTTCAGAAAATTTAAGTGCTCCTTATTTCTGAATACAACTGGTTACTGGTAATTCTCTAAACTATCCTTTTTATTTCAAGTGTTAGCCTTTTAAATAGAGTAATTTGTAAGTGTTCCTTTTTATCTTGTTGGACTGTTGAATTAGCAATAACTTCATTACTATCAATAAGAAGAGTTTTAGTCAAGGACAGAGACACTTGGAATTGCCAGGAATTTATCAAATTTCTATAGTCTGTGATGATAAAAATTTGATGCCCAACATATGTTTTGAGTTTAATTATGTCAGTGAATGGTTGTCTCTTAAATCCGAAATAATTCCTTCGGTAGACTATCTTACAGCAAGTCAGGACTAGAAAAATAAAACTAGCCCAAAATGCATACGTGAAAATACAATAAAGGAGTTTCTTAACCTGACTTGCTGTAAGTTAGTGTACCGAATTATTTTGGATTAAAGAGACAACCATTCACTGAAAGAGTAATACAGCCACATTTAGTAAATTCAACATTTAATTATGTCATTTATTTACATTAAAACATTGCTTTTTGTAATTAAAAGTATGCATGTTAAGTAGTTTAAGTAATGTGAAGGATAAATGTCATTTTACTTATTCATTTCATAGTTAAAATCAAAATTATTTTATTTTAAGATAGAATATTACTTATTTGTTCTTTTTATTAACTTTATTTATTGACCACTTAAAGAAAGGAAAATCGATAATCGGTTAATGAACAATTTGGATAATGAACAAAGTCTTGGAACGGATTATGTTCATTAACTGATCACCCACTGTATAATGCAATTAAAGAAGAAATACATTCAATTTTATTGAAATATAATAATTTGTTATAAGGAGAGGATGAATATATATTACTATATAAAGATAAAATATTCCATACTTTGAATAAAATTTTCATTTGAAATTTTTAAGTTGCATTTAAGATTGTAGCTTTCAAGTTGGTGCCAAGATTGAACAATATAAGTTATATGTATAATCATTGGTCTAACACAATGGTATTGATTAGATGTATTTAACATTCAATGTCTTAAACATATTTGTGTAGTCCAGTTTTGATTTATCCTCTAGCTTCTTTTTATCTTTCTATTTCACTATTCAAAGCAGTGATGTACACAAAGAAACTTGCATAGACATTTTCATTTCCATCATATCAATTGTAGTTACAGAGCTATTTAAATATATTTTCTTCATATTACTTTCAAATGAATGGAAACATTTATCATCAGAAAAGGAGCTACCTGTGGAACCTTCTCTGCACTTCAGATCACAATTGTACTAAGAACAAATTGAAATGAAATTATTCAACAATCATCTTATGAACTTTTTAGGATGTTTTCAATATGTGAATGATATTCTTATCTTGTGGTTGAAAAACGTTCTGATTTTTATTTATTTAAGCAGATTTTGATCTCAACTTTTCATTAATGTTATTCAGCCTTTCATTTCTTCCTTGGTAGTAACTTTCTTTGATTTGGTGGTCATCAGATCTTCACTTATGTTTCAGTTTCAAGTCTATATTAATTAGTTGTATCATAGATATTCCTTCCAGTTATTTCTTTTCAATAAGAATCTTATTTATTAGTGGCCATCTATTCTTTTATAAAAAGAATGTTTGTTTTTTTTACTGTTTTATGAAACTAATTTCAAAAATGGAGTTGGAAAAGAATAAAATCAGTTTGCTTTTATTAGGATATCAGCAAAAAGTTTTTCAGAAAATTTAAGTGCTCCTTATTTCTGAATACAACTGGTTACTGGTAATTCTCTAAACTATCCTTTTTATTTCAAGTGTTAGCCTTTTAAATAGAGTAATTTGTAAGTGTTCCTTTTTATCTTGTTGGACTGTTGAATTAGCAATAACTTCATTACTATCAATAAGAAGAGTTTTAGTCAAGGACAGAGACACTTGGAATTGCCAGGAATTTATCAAATTTCTATAGTCTGTGATGATAAAAATTTGATGCCCAACATATGTTTTGAGTTTAATTATGTCAGTGAATGGTTGTCTCTTAAATCCGAAATAATTCCTTCGGTAGACTATCTTACAGCAAGTCAGGACTAGAAAAATAAAACTAGCCCAAAATGCATACGTGAAAATACAATAAAGGAGTTTCTTAACCTGACTTGCTGTAAGTTAGTGTACCGAATTATTTTGGATTAAAGAGACAACCATTCACTGAAAGAGTAATACAGCCACATTTAGTAAATTCAACATTTAATTATGTCATTTATTTACATTAAAACATTGCTTTTTGTAATTAAAAGTATGCATGTTAAGTAGTTTAAGTAATGTGAAGGATAAATGTCATTTTACTTATTCATTTCATAGTTAAAATCAAAATTATTTTATTTTAAGATAGAATATTACTTATTTGTTCTTTTTATTAACTTTATTTATTGACCACTTAAAGAAAGGAATAAAATGTAGATGAATGAAGGACAAAAAAGAAGTTAAACTAAAATATAGTAGGAAAAAATGTTGAATTTATCTAGAACTTCAAAAAATTAACTAATAATAATTTTTTAATATGAAATGAAGGAAAATTGAAATTGATAAAGTTTTATTTAAAAATTAAGCATAACAGTAATGAAATTGTTAATATTTATTTAAAATGAACATTAATTTAAAAATTAATTTAAATAATTTTTATTATTCCAGGTTTTCAACATGTTATACCCTATCTTACAATATTTATAATATTTGTTTATTTTTTGAAACGAATATTACATATTGAAGAAATCTGCAAGAAAGAATATTCTACAACTTGGAACAAGTATAAAAGTAATGTTCCATATCTTATTTTCCCAAAAGTATTTTAACTTCTTTGAAGATAAAAACTGTGCATACAAATTTACTGGTTTTATTTTAAATATATATACATATATATATATATTTTTTAATAATTGTAGTGCCTTATACACATGTTGAATTTCATTGTGTGATTTTACACTATCCATTTATAAAATGAAAGGTTTGTTGTTCATCATACATTCATTGTACATTGTGAAAATATGTGAAATAATTACAAATTTTATGTTAATATTTGCATGTTTTAAACATTTTTTCATCTGTCATCTATTCATTTCAATATTCATCCTTCATAATTGTATTAATTGACCATTAATCATTTTATAACCTGTATTTGTAAATATTACTGATAAATTTATTGAAATATTTGAATAAAATTATGCCTAAAGATTACCTCTCTTAAATTGGCAATAACAAATAAATACATATATATATATATATATTTTAAATTAATACTTTTTTAGAAAATAAAACCAAATGATTTTAATTCATTATATAAATTTTTTCTATTTATTTCATGTTTATTAAAATGTTAAAAGCAAAGTAGTAATGACAAATGATTTTAATATAAATTTACAAAAGAATTCCCTTATTGTAATCATCAATGCAAAAATTTTCACACCCACACACAAAACTCCACTTAATGATACCATAACCAAATTCTGATTACTGTACAATGTCTTTAGGTAAATAGTCATTTCTAAGCTTTTTTTTTTTTTTTTGTTTTGTTTTGCAGAATTTGAAGAATCCAGAATATTAAAAAGACATATTCAAGCAGTTAAAAATAGCTTTAAAATGTCTTTTTATATCAATCAATAAACTAGAATTTTCTCTAACTGTAACTTTATTTACTTATCCAATATTTGTTAGTCAGTTATTGTTACCAATGTAGCTGAGTCCCAAAGTGATTACAATAGGTGGATTATACCTTATTTTATATAAAAGATGGAAATGTTGATTTGTTGTTTAGAATTTCTTTTATTTCATTTTATCAAACAGCTTACCTTAATAACGACTTTATGGTTATTTAGACAAACTCACTTTCCCATAATATTGAATATGTTGAAAAAATTGTAGTTTATAGATTGATCATAGATTTATCTCTTAATCTTTTCATATATTAATTTCAGTAAAAATGAATTTTGGATCAGATCTTGCTACAATATATATCAAATAATAGTATGTTGTATATTTATATTACATAGTTATTTGTTTTTATTTTTTTAAATATATTATATCTGTCATTCATGTTTTGTAATGCCCAAAGTTAACTAAACACATAACATCTTTTTTAATATATTTAAAATATTGAAAAGTTTATTCATAAGTATGTTATGAATAAATTTTCAATTTAATTTGTTGTAGTTTGTCAAAGTATTGTGTTTGGAGGATGGGATATAAATTAAAGCAAATATGATAAATGTTTTTAACAGTCAGTTAAGCTTATTTTTTTAATTGAATTTTAGTTAATATTTATAATAAACGATTTATAATCTTCAATATTTTGTTTAAAAAGATAGTTTATATTGTCAATTGAAGTACTTCTCTTTATGAATCTATTGACTGCTGATCTCATATCAAGCATCTTGAGAGANGTCCCTTAACAAATAAAAATAAATAAAGTCATTAATTCTTGTAAAAGGATCGCCATGCGGTAGGTAAAGGGAGATGCGGACTCTTTACCTACCACATGGCGATCCTTTTACAAGAATTAATGACTTTATTTATTTTTATTTTTGTTAAGGGACATTTTTTCGGATTAATTTAAAATATTCTTGAAATTATTCATCATCATTGTTGCCAATAAGTTATTTAGCTACAAATACTATCTGATTAAATGGGAAGTTTTTTGCATTTTTTGGAAAAAGGTCAAGATGACTTTAAAAAAAAAATAAAAATGATTTATTTATTCAAAAATGTAATTAACCTCATTTATAATTACCTTCTTTTTATATTCCACAAGTTTATTGCTTCTGACAAAACAAAGATTGTATATTACATTTAACTTCAAAACTTCTAAATTTTTTTATGATTAAACAATTTTGTAATATCAAAACAAGTGAAAATTGGAATGCTAAGTGAGGGGATTAGGATGAATGATCTAAAATTTTTAGTTAATTTGTTTTATTTTTTATTGCATCATCAAACTGATGTGAGGGCAGAGAAAGAGGATTCTACTCTTGGTTGACTAGAAGTCAGTGTTTTTGTTTTAATACATTTGTTTATTCAATGTAATTGCTGACATTAGAATTTATAATTTTATTAGGCTCTAAAAGCTAGTAAATTAGGCTATTTGTATCACATTATTCACAAAGCAGTAATTTTTAGAATGCAGTGTTCTTTTTGGAGTTGGAATCACAGATTGCCCTTGCTTGCAACATTGTTCTTTTTTCAAATATTGTTTTTACTGTTTTCATTGCAGTAATATTGTTCCAAAACTCATAAAATGTAACATGACATACATGCATATTAGGTATCTACATATGTTCTGAGTTTTGCTTATCCAAATAAGATGTTAAAAATAAAATGCAAAATAAGCTTTTAATGATACTTTGCTATTACACATTAACTGTAATGTCTTAAATATCACAATAGCTCTAATTGAATCACACTGCTGATGTGTATAGTGATTTCCACTGAAAAAAGTTTTTCTTTTCAACTATATAACTTCTGGATGATGACATATACTTCAAATAAATGAAGTCCTAATTTTAGTATCATTTGATCACTATGCAATCTTAAAACAATCTTAATATTAAATTGCCATCTTCATAAAATATGCAGAAAAAAGTGAATTATTAGAATTTTGATTTTATATTTATTATCTAAGCGTTATAAATATATTTTTTAAATAGCCAAATTCTTATCACTTTTAGTATGTTGAATTTTACATAATTTTTAGCAGATAATATCATAACTTATGTAAGTTATGATAAATAAACAACTACTGTCAGTTGTTGGCATATGACAGATATTCATTTATTTATTTATTTTCAAAATTCATCTTTAATAGTCTTAACTAATATCTTCACATGGATATATTCTTTTTATTTGGATCTATTCAGAAAATCATTAACTAATCTACTAAATGTTTGAGATGATTAAATAGTATATACTGAAAAGCTAATTACATGCCAGTAATTCAAATAATAAAGCTATTTATTTACAAATAGCTGATAAAATAAACTTATCATTAAGGGAAATTTAGGAAATAAATTGTTTCGTAAGTTTTAAAATGTTACTTTGTTTATAAAATAATAAACATTACAAATTTTCTACAGTAAAAATATATTTTGTTAAAACATTATTTTTATTTTGTAATATATCATAAATTGCAACTTAAATTGATCTCTAGATTTTCAACTAAGAATTGTAATATAGGCTTATAATCACATATAAGTCAATCTCCAAATATATAATAGGCAGGAAGTGAAATGTGGACACAGTATGTGGTATTTCTATCAGAAATGAAATCAATTTATAATGATTTTAGTCTTTCATCTATTCTTATTGGTTATAAACTATGATTTAAAAACATTCTGTACTAAAAAACAAAATGTGATCCAAAATTATATTCAATTATAGACCATTTGAGTATTAATAAATTTTAAAAAATTATCAAAAGTATTAAATACTAAAATTCCTGAGGTTTTTAAGGAAATTATACTACCTTTCAAATTTAACAAATCAACTTAATATTGACATGCTGTGTTTATGAAGCTGTTATTTAGAGAAGATATTAACAGTGTAATAAAATCAATAGACAAAATACAATGGGTGATTGGTTAATGAACATAATCCTTTCCAAGACTGTTTGTTAAATGATTATCGATTTATCATAGGTTTTTATGGGAATTTGATTAATTTGTTCTGGAGACCCCAGAAAATAAATGATATATACTTTCTTACTATGTTTATTTATATGTAATAATAAAAATACATATATACACAATTTTGCATTTTTATCAATCATGTTTTTTTCTGTTTGTGGGGGTTAAAGAATCTGTCTAATGTAGATTGCTTTTCTCTCTTCAGGATTTTTCAGAAGTAATTAATACCATTATAATTGTAGAGATCCCCAAGCCTATTAACCTCAACCTGGTTTGGAAAAATCTTGAATAAAATCTTTAATTATGAACAAAAATTATACCAAAGATTATATTTACCATTTTAACTGTCAACCATGCCATTCTAAGACCATTGTTCTGACATCCTCCCACTTCTTCAAAAGATCGTTAATAGCTGGTGTCAGCATTGGTCCTCTTTTGACTTCCTCTTTTTCAGAAGAAAACATATCTAGATGAGTTTCTTGGCATTCTTCTTCATCAGATCCGTTTCAGGTTCTATTATGAGCTCTTTAATGTTTTTTATTATTTCTCAGATGTGATTTTTGTTGCTCCTTTAGCTGCTTGAGTCTTCTTGATTATACTGTATCTTTCTTAGATAAGATTGAACTGCAACCTACTGTAGACCTGTTCAAGCCATACTGCCCAGCAACATCAGACATCTGCCCACTCTCTACCTTTGCTATTATACTCTCACCTTTTGAAAATAAAAACTGATGAAAAACTTAATGATCAGTCTCACGAATACTATAAAAAATTGTTTTTGTAGAAAAATAAAAGGCTGGAATTACCAGGGAGAGTTTCAAAGTTCAGAGGAATACTATCTGATCAGTATATACCAGGTTGAGCATTGATGTCAACGTCTCCTGCACTCCGAAAAGTTTCAAATTGTTGCCTGAAAACAAGGGATGACCAATCTGTATTCATTATTTTATGTTGCACATTACAAATATAAAAATCTTTTGTGAAACTATTCATTATCTCATTTTTTCATTAACTGATCACCCACTGTACTTTAAAAATTTTGTAAAAAATAATTACTTTCTTAAAACTTAGATATTTATAAAATACAAAAATATTTTTAATATTTTGTACATCTCTCTCTTTACATATAATTATAAGTACATATTCTAAAGTTGTACATTAATTTCTACTTTTTATATTGTGCAATAATTTTAACAAATTATTGTTGAAAATTAGATAAAATTCATATTAAGTTAACTTAAGACTTTATTTTAGTTCATCTGATGAATTTCTATATAATTTTCAAACCAAAACATTTTTATATAATGAATTAAAATCAATAAAATGAATAAAATCTTTAATTATGAACAAAAATACAAAAATTATACCAAAGATTATTTACCATTTTAACTGTCAATTTAAATAGAAGTAAATGCAATGGATTTCAAACATATTTTCTTTTAATTTCATTTTTTTTTTTTTATTCCAGTCTACCTCAGATTCAAATTCAAGATAAATGATTAGAATTTTGTTTTTATTTATATTGAAATTTAAAAAATAAATTTTTGTGTCATTATTTCCAAAGTATGTTTTTAAACTGTTATATGAAAATCTTGCTTTCAAGCAACAATTTATTTTTTAAACATTTTTCTTATCATCCTTAATCATATGGGATTGTACAGATAATCAGAAAATTGCATCTAAAAACATTTTATCTCAGAGAAATCATAAATTTAAAATTTTAATTTTACCAAAATAATAATAAAATAAATTATAGTTGTCATTGAAATGATATATTTCAAAAAGTTATTTTTAGCATATCAGGAATAAAAATTTAATCTGTTATATGCACATAAAAAGTGCAAAAAGTAATAATTATTTAAAAAGTTATTACTTCTATTTATATTTAGAATTAAACAATGATTGATTAATGCAAATATATAAATTGTTACAAATTAAAATTTGAGAAATTCATATAAACATTTGAATATATCATACATCAAATTGAGATTATTTTAAAAATAGAAATTTTAACAAATTTCATAAAGATAATGCTCATCTGAAAGTACAAAATATTTTGCCAAAAAAAAAATTGTATTATGCTATTCTAAGCCAAATTATAAAAACAAAATATGCCATTTAAGAAAATTTTAAGCATTTGCTTATTTATAATTTGAATCATACATATGTGTATATGTATATATATATGTGTGTATGTGTATTTTTAGTGAGATTATTTTCACAAGTAAAATTTATCAGTAATGTGTCATTCTTGTCCAGAAAATGTATCTGATGATATGTATACCTTAAATGTTTTAATAATATCTTAAATGACAAATGCAATACCATGTTTTATCAATTACTTATTATATTTAATATCTTAAAATGTGTACAAGTCTTGTTATTGATTAAATCATGTGAATAAAACTGCTCTAAGCAGTGT